CAGGAGACAGGGCCTGCACCAACTCAAGGAGAAAGTTAAAGATAAAAAAGGACTCACTCCAGTAAAACAGAGCAAAGCTTCACCCAGAATCAGCCGACCTAAACTGGGACAAGGCATCATCCCAGTATGTCCGAGCCCTGTGGTCTCTGACAAAGCAGTAGGGGTGACCAGAATGGAATGACAAGTTCTTGGCAGGATTTTTTTTTTTCCTTTTTGATGCTTCATCCAAATAAAATGTTTATAAACACACAGAATCATTCCTGCCATAATAGACCATGACCTGAAAGGGCTGAAGGGCCCCAGACAAGGAAGACAGGCTGCAGGGCCACTGGCATTAAACACAGCTCTTCCAATCTGCACACCCATTGCACACCATGGCCCTGGTACAGCCAGCTGCTCAGCACAGCCCCGGGGCTCTGACAAGGCTCCTGCACACCCCAGCACACACTCCTGGCAGAGCAGCAGCTTTTGCCCCCAAATCTAAAACGCTAAATAGAGAGTGTGCCTGTCCAGGCACACATTTCTTTCTGCTCCTTCTCTTTACCCTGTTTTATCTTTCCAAGTTGCCTCAGCCCCTTGCAGTCATCTCCCACCTCACCCTGAACATACATTAATTTCTTTGCTCCTCAAAGAAACCAATTCCCCTGCTGTTTCCTGCCAATCAAGTGACACATCTTCCTTTATTGCTCAACCTCTACTCTGCTCACCTCATTAGTGGTATTGCTTGCCTCAGGCATTTGGGTCCAATCACTCATTTCCAATGCCCAAGGGCTCTGCAGTCAAGGCTAAAGCCTCCCTGAATACACTGTGATTAGAAAAACAAGTTTATTTAAAAAAAAACACATTTATTACAAAATAGTCTGGCCTGATCCTTTCACCATCAATTCAAGCCAGCTATGATGAACTGGATGGACTTTTCTAATTCTAGGGATAAACTTCTGAAAACAAGAGAACTTTGAAATGTCACACTGAATGTGCATGGCAAAAAAAAAACAACTAGGAAGCTAAATACATATATCTGCACACACATTTCCAACCATCTGAGGTTCCTGCACCAGATGGGCTATGGGAACAGGCTACACTACAAGTACAAACTTCACAAAGTTTATACACTCAACTGCAGAAGAAAAAAAAATAAAAAAAGAAAATCACAAAACTCGAAAGTGAGTTCTTCAGACTCACCATGAACTTCAGCAAGGTCTCCTGCAGGAAAAGTTTGCTTGGTTCCACTGGCACAACTGCATCAGCAAACTCTGTACTGTAGAGTGTGAGTACCTGAGCAAAACCTCTATGTTTGTGTTGCAGACACACATCCCCTTCCAGCTAAAACCATACTCCTGACAAGGTTTTCAGCAGAAATGTCTTGAAAAATAATAAGAACTAATATGCAAAAAAAAAAAAAAAAAAAAAAAGCTTCCACAGGACATCTGGTTGGGGGGAGTTGCAGTACCCCTGTTGTTTCACATACCCATCTTCCATTACCTGTGTGTGCCACAACATCCCTTGCACTGCACAGAACACACCATCTCATTAAGAAGTTGCTTATACTTGGCATCTTTTTAGTCTTTAAGACTTGGCTCAAGAGCAGTAACAATCAACCCAAGACCTCACTGAGATGCATATGAAGTTCAAGTCATTTTTCCCTGGACATGCATCACTACATTTACCTACACCAAGCCAACTGGTTCAGAAGAAAATGCCAAGTCATGCAACTGTTCAGTAATGTGATAATAGTACCCTCATAATGTCATGTTACAATCCCTAAAAATACTGTAAACATGAAATTTTACTTGCTTTCCACATTTTGCAAATTATCGTAATGATTCTGCATACTTAGATTATGCTTTAAAAATGTATTTTTCTTCAGTTATGCCCAAATTCTAAACATAACCACTTTCTAATTGCAGTCTAATTAGACTACACTGTGATTACACGTTGCATGAAAAAAATATTTTTAAATCAACTTTGGATTTGCCACCATTTATTTTAATTTGATGTCATTCTTTTGTTGACTTAGAGGAAATGAGAAAAATAATTCTTTAGAACAGTCAATTTGCAGGCGAATTTTCAGCTTTTGAGCACCACATCTGGAACAGTCAGTTTTGTCCTGAGGTCAAGCCCGTGCACCTTTGCCATGTGACCAAACTCTTCCATCTCAGGAAAGCCACTACGAACTGAAGATGCTTAATACTAAAATTGACTAGGTTGTTCCTCATGTTGTGATTTCTGAAGGAGTCTAAGAGACTGGGCTGTAAGGCACCGCAAAGTCTTTAGAGAGCATTAATTTGACACACTTTTATAAGTTTCAGGGAGCTGCTGTGAGGAATGAATTCCACAATAAATGGCACAACAAGGAAACTGGGAAATTGCCACACATGGAACAAGCACAAGTGCTGGTGCTAGGTACAGAACAAAAGCTTTAACACAGCAAACTGAACAAAATTCCTGCCATAAAGTTTCTGATTCAAAGACAGGGTGACGTAATTATTTCTGTGGTGTCTCAGTGAACAAGTTATGTTTCAAAAGACCACCAGAGAAACATCAGATGTATGCTGAAAAAGAGAAAATAAAAGAACAGGGTGGGTGAATACAGGTAAGCAGAGACTTTTGAACTTTATTTAGATGATAAACCGAAAGACAGAATAACAACAGACACCAGAGACAGCATCAGAGACTGGATCAAGAGGAGGCAGGTCAAGACCAGAAGCAAGGGTGCTGCATTCACATTTACTGAAAAGCCAGAGAAACCTCCTTTTCTTTGTGGAGTGAGTATGGTATGCAAAGGACTTAGAACCTAACTAAAAAATAAAAGGGTCACAGCAGATTTCAAGGTGGTAAGCACAGGCACCTGAGCAGACAGCGTATTTTCCAACTGTGACAGAAAGCAATGAAAGAAAGCTGTGTCAGAAAGGCAAGTACCTTGAATTTAAAGGAGCAACAAAACATCCAATAGAAAACGAACCAGAGAGAACACAAAAAAGGTCCATTACAGAAGCAGATTTTCAGCATCCACCATGTACTTAACAGACAAAAAAAGACCACCTTCAAGAAAAAAATAAACAGTGCCAAAACTTGAAGTCTAGAGGAAAATGTGGCATACAGGGTGGGGGGGAATATCACTTCCTACAGAGGTACTGAAAAGAAAGCAGCGTATTTTTGTTAAAGGACATTTCATTTAAAGGACACAAGTCCAAAGGTTCAGACAGGAAATCTGGGAACACATCTGAGCCAAATCTTAGGACAGAAAAACACCCATTTTATGCAGAAGACTTCTGTTGGTGAGAGCTGCAGGCAGAGCATACTTTGGAATGATGATAAAAGCCTTCCAAAAAAGCATGTTAGAAATGTCTGCAAAGGAACTCTTGGTGGGTGATGTGCTTAGACATGACAGCTTAGTATAAAAATAAAAAAAGGGAGGAAAAAAAAAAAAAAGAAACCTAAGGAGAGAGTAAGGCAGAGAGTAGTGTGCATGTGCCCTGACAGACCAGTTTGTACTAGTCACAGCACCACAGCTGCTTCCCTTGCCTCAGAACTGCTAACAAGTGCAAAACATTTTTTATTATCTGCCGTTTCTCTGAATGTTTTCCAAATATATCATTAGCAATGCAGTGATAGCCAGTTTCCCCTCTGTGGAACTTCTCAGAAATCTGAAGACAAGATTTGCTCTTTGTGTTTCCCATCATGGTTACCACGTGTGCCTTGAGACAGTGTTGTGGGTGGCAGATGTGGGTGAGATGGCACAAGTCAGAGGAAGTGCAGAGAGCTGCCCTCATGCCAAAATGGCACAACCTCCTAGCTCAAAGACACAAACGCTTTCCGCTGGTATTTGCATTATTAATTAAAACCTACAACATGGCTTTGAAATGAAAAATTCTTGTTCTCCCCACCCACGGTGACATGATGTCTGTCCCACGGCTGCTGGTGGGAGCAGTGGAGCCACCACTCAGAGCCAGATGGGGCTGTGATCCCAGGACTCAGGACTCCCTAGGGAGTTACACCTGTCATAGGCACAGGGATAGTACAAGGAACTCAATAAAACCACTCCCAAAGCTTCCAATTTCAGCAAAAAACTCTTAACAAGATATTGGGAAGGGGAGAGACTCCCCACTGTGAACACAGAGATCGACATTTTGCTTCCCTGAACATTCAATCATCTAAAAGCAGCTGCCTGTGTATCTCTTCCACATGGCCTGGTCAGGAAGTTGTGGAATTTGGAAAGCTCCATTACAAACAACTTCAGAGGCATGCTAATCCCTACCTCATTCACCATGCTGCCTGAAAGATCCCTTTCTCTGTCCCTCTCCCTGAATGGTAGCACATTTTAAACATGGTGAGTTTGGGGGAAAGTCACTGGCAAAAATCACTGTGTGTCTCTTAACACATGTGTGATTCACACAGCCAAGAGTGCCTGGCCAGAGACTTCAAGACCACTTCATTCAACACCTGCAAAAAAATCCTCCAGGAATCTGGATCCGAAAAACTAAATTTTAGCCTTTGAGAAAAGTTACACACAGAGAGTATGTGTTCCTCAATGTACAAGCTGGCTTAAAATCAATTCTCATTTACTGATTATCAAAAAGGTCAGATTTTTGTCTACTATGGCCTTTGGCTCCTGCTGTAGAAATGGAGAACTGCTGCCCATCCAAATCCAGTGTCACTTCTCCAACTATACTAGCCCAACCAGAGGTACAAACCCACATTAGCTCAGCTCTTGCAATAATGTTCCAAGGTTAAACACAGTTGTCAGGCACCGAGTGTATGAACTCAACAATATGGCCCCCCAACCCTGCCACAATATGCAAGAGTATATTGTTGCACAAGGTGGACCTCTTCTGGTGAAAAGCTTGTGCTCCAAAACACCTGGTTCCTTAGTCTTGGCTAAGTAAAAGTCTGCAGGGATCACAACATTATACAGCTCCTTTTAAAGAGTAAGTAAAGCACGTGGCAGGGTGAGGGGGAACAGCAAGTCAGGATCACAGAGCACAAGTGTGGGTCCTTACCTCAAAGAGCGTCAAACTTGCATCGTTCAGGATGATTCTGGGAGGTGCAATAACTGAAGTTAAAAAACAAGTTACAAAACAGGACCACCCAGCAACCAAAACAATAAATTCAGCAGGTATGGGAGGGATTACTGCTCTTTAAAGGAGTGACACATCCACACTGCCCCCAGAGGCTTTTTATTAGGCAGAACTATGTAGCCAAGTGAGCAGGTTACGCCTTCTTGGCATTCTGAGGCTGTATTTAGGGAAGGAATTCCTCCCCAGGTCATACCTCCTGGCATCACAAGATTCCATAGGAATAGGCTTTGCAAAGTAAGGCCAAACATTACCAATAGCACACTCACACAAGTAAAATGGCAAATCTGCATCTGCAAGGTGACTCCTTATAAAGTCTCTCAAAATGCCAACTGTAGAAAAAGGAGAGAAAGATTTGCTGAAGTGCATTTGTTTCTTCAGATGCTGGACAAAAAGGCTAACCTGTACCAGAAGTGCCCTCTACAATGTCTGCAGATTGCCTTTTCCCCAACACCATTACAAATATCTGAGGAAAAAAAAATAAAAAAATAAAAAAACCACTAAACCCAACAAACAAACAAAACTACAAAAAAAATTCACCAAAATAACCCATTTAGACATGCTGGTTCCTTAGTAAAATCTGTGGATGCCAGTTAAGCTCTTCCTAGCAAATCCAATAATAGCTGCAAGATTTTTAGGTAAAGCTGCTTCTTCTTCCTGTTTTTTTGGTTTTGTTTTTGATTGGGGGGGACAGGTGTTTTTACCCCAAAACTGTTTAAGCTTTAACATAGAGGAAGTGCCTAGACTCATCTCAGTTAACACACGATCTGCACACAAACAATGGAACATCAGCTGGAACAGTTTCCTGAGCACATGTATGTTGCCATCAAGTAGCCTGACAGTCTCCATCAAGCAGTCCTGGAAATAAATTCCCTTTAACTAAGTTAACTACCCCAGACCCTTTTCTCATCCACTTCATAGGCCTCATAAGAGCAGTGTTAACTAGTTTCTGCTGCTTGTTCAGAGCAGTATTACTCTCCTGGACAGCAGAAATCTGACCAGACCCTTTCTCCTGTCATGAAGCTAAAGACTGACAGGAGGTTAGCTGCAGCTTCACAGGCTGCAGGGGAGATTGCCCTTACCTGTTTCACTAGGATGAAAGAAGCCCTGCAGAACATGTCTGTCTGGAAAACGGACTCTTAACACCACCTAAGTCAGAGGCAAAGCACATCAGGTCAGCTGTGCATGGCTGTTCAGTAACACCCACTCTTGGCTTAGAATTTTTGAGCAAGTCTGTTGTTGTTTGTTTTGGTTTTTTTTTAAGTGGGAATATTTGAGGTATTTACTCTACAGGGGCAGAACAGCACACTGGCTAACGACTGTGCAGCTCCTCAGAGAACAAGGGCTGTCTGGTTTTCACAGGCTGTCAGAGCTGATCCATAGGAACAGTCCAGTGCAGCAGCACTGATTCAGAGAGCAGGAGCTCCCTGTGTGAAGTGGTGCACAAACAAAGAAGAAAGTCACTCGTGGACAGATACAGTGTATCAGTATCTTGAAGTGTCCATATCAGCAGGTATTGTCCCACTGCACATCTGAAGGAACTCATACCATTCTATTTCCAGCATTGGTCAGAACACACTTAGCTTACAAACTTAGTATCTTTTTTTTTTTCCAGTAAGACACCAAAGACAAAAACTGCATTAGGATCATATTTACAGACTAAGGCATCTCCAATCTGTAATTTCATTCAACTCACAATGAGATACTATCAAAATGTAGGAATTTACAGAGAGGCAGACAGGGAAGCTCAGCCATATGGACTGATGTGTGTACAACGTAAGTGCCTGAAACACCTGTAAGAGCACAACAGAAGCTCTACAACCTGCCACTCAGTCAGGCCAACTGATTTTACAGGGTACAGCTGTTGTGCAAGCCTCATAAACAATTATTAGGGACAGGAACTTGAGAAATCTCACTATCAATAGCTCAGGACCCTCCTGATCACTCAACTTCCAGGCCAGGACCAGTCAAAAGGATTGGAAAAAGAACAAAATCTACCTTTGGATAACGCTCTAATTTTTCCTTCAGCTGAGCCTCCCTCAAAGACTTTGTCATCAGTGGAGCTTCTTCCAGGCGTTTCCTAGATACACGGGAAGAAGACAAGCTGTCATTTCTGTAATTTAAAGATTTATTTTTATTGTATTAAGAAAGCAAAAAGTCCAAGAAAGGCCGAAGAAAACTGCTCAACTGTTCCATGTACTCTGCACAGCATTTTCCTCACCTCCTTTGGCTCCTACCCCAAAATCACATACACGGAACTACTGAGCATCAGCAACAATACCATGTAAGATTACTTTTCTCCTACAAGTTTAAAAATAAGTACTCAGATAAAAATAAGTACTCAGATACCAGCAAAGACACTAAGAAGAGTAGGGGAATGTTTGCTTTGACTACTCAGGAAGAGATAGGCTTATTAATCCAATAAAAGAGAGGTTAAAGTTGGACATATTATTCCAGGGAGGGAGAAGAGCTACTGAAGCTGATGCAAGAAATGCTGGTACAAGAATTAATGGGTATTGATTAGCAACAGGGAAACAAAACAAAAATGAGAAGTTTCAGATAATTCAAGAGCAGGCATTGTAGAATAGTGTTTTGAAAGGAACCTGTAATCTACCTGTATTTAAGATGTAACAATCAATTCAAGAAAACAATTATAAGTTTTTTTCTGTAAGTGAAGAAATAAGCTTAGATCCAACAGATCCCATGTTCAGCGCTAGGCCTTTTTCCTTGTTTGCACTGAATTCTGGATAAACAATTCCCTAGGCTCAATTTTGGCAAAACATCCAATCATATAATTCTGTACAGCTATTTGCAAGTTAATCTCTTAACCTATTAAGCTTGAAGGATCTCTAAGAATCACCAAGGTATCTCAGAAACAGCTGCTGAACAAAACAGCTACAGGCTTACTGTACCAACTGCAGCTGTCAGCTGAACACCACATTCCAAGATGCTCTGAAAGTGCCAGCTCACAATCTGCAAAGCAAACATGGAAATAACCTGCTCCACTCCCCTGAGTACCAACTGCTGATTCATACCAATTCTCAGCTCTTCATGAAGTCAGAATTAAATTCTAACTGCATTTTTTAAATTGCATTGCAGGCAGCTAGTTTTTGTTAGGATTCACCAGGCTGAGATCAGAAGCCAAGTGGTATCAGTTTCATGTGTAATTTGCCTTTGTTTGTCCCTGGCTGTGAGGGGACAAGGGATTACAAACATCAACAAATTTGAAAATCAGGTCTTTTTTTCTGAGGGGACTGTATTCCAGTAACCCCCAGCCAAATGATCCTACATTTGTAACACTAAATATTCCAGACCCACAAGCGGCAGAACAATTTTCAGGCCAATCTGTGTACTTATGTGGACTTCACCAGCCTGTTGAGGAAAAAACAGTTCTAAGTAAGAAGTTCAACTCACACTTGGTTACAGTATAAAGTAGGCTACCCCACAGTTTCAGAGAATGCTTGTAATGTTTGCAGGAATTATATGATCCACTTGAAACTAAATATATTCATTTATTTCTTTATGAAACATATAGACAGCAAAATGCTGTTGTAACAGGGAGGCCAGTTTATCTTAATCTGAGGTTTTAGTACAGAACTGGAATAAGAGTACAGTAAAATCAGGAATATTTGATCGCAAGCTACTTGCACAGTGAGATGCATAGTTAGCCCAGCTTCCTATATGTCTTCTCCCTCTTTGTGTGTGTTCTAAACGTTCCCATGGTTGATTTGTGGTGAAGTTTGATTTTGCTTTATTTCCATTTGGGTAGTGTATCAAAGCTGGTCTTTTCTGATGAAGTGTAATAAAAGGTTAGTTCTGTTACTTAAAATACAAGGTGTTTCTTACTGACTGAAAATGCTACAGCACTATCAAAGTCAGTGGGAGTTATTCTTATGAAACTGGATTCATTGTATTCATGTATTTGTCCATCACAAGTTGCAAATTCCATCAATTTATTTCAGAATAGTTAATGTGAAGTCAGATCAAAACACATAGCAGGAGCTCACCACTGCTTTGGGCCTCTAGCAAATATGAGCACATCTAATAACAAAGGCAGCGGCATCTCCTCCAGAACAAGAGAAGGAAGAAAAAGAGGTGGGGTGTTAAGTGGCTCTGAATAACGCCCTGAAATGCAGAACACAGAAATAAATCTCTCTTAATCCTTTCTCTGGGAAGGCCCATCTCTTATTAGCTTGGGGTTCTCAGATAAACCTACCACCACGCAGGTATCACAGTGATCAACATGCAGTGAACCATTTCCCATGCACAAGTGCTCCTCCAATTCACACAAGAACATAGGCTCTATCACAGAAACGTGGTACAGCCCCTGAACTCCAATGGCATAAAGGGCAGAGACTGCCAGTGCTGAATACCTTTACCCAGAGATCACAGCCAGCAGCAGATGCACAGTGTCCCTCTGCTCACAAAAGGATACGGAGCAATTTCAGCCACCAGCAGAAAGGGAACTTGCCTCTCACTCTGCAGTTGTGCCAAACGTTTCCGTACATCATCCACTGTGACTTCAAAGAACTCATCAGGAAGCTCTTCTGGGCCAGCAGGAAGGGGTTCTAGGAGGTCTAGGTGACATACAAGTGGCTCTCGTTCTACAAGCTATAGAATGAAAATGAGCTTTGGTTAGTCTTAAACGCATTGTTTTGCTTATGCTGTAAGGCCCCTGAAAGAAGTAAAAGGACTGTGTGCAAACTGAAATACAAAGACCAGTGCAGAATTCATGCCACCAAGACTAGACTAATGACACAAAGGTTGTCAGTACTCCTGTCCCAGAACCAAAACCTACCTCTCTGTTCTACTCCAAACCTCTCAAACTGCAATGGCTGCTTTCCTGCTCTGCAGGCAGCACACAACCAACACAGGTGATGCTCTCCATGCTGCTGACTAGAAACTGTCCTTTTGAGCTCTTCATCTGCCACACACTCCTCACTAGCGTTGTACCTTCTGTTCACTTCACATTCTCTTGCCACAGAACCAACAGCACCAGATCCCAAACAGGGCTCACTCCCCTTGTTCCTACTCTAGAGAGCAATCCTTTGTTTTGGTAAGGTAGTTTTTGACCTATTGAGTTCTTTGAACTGAGCCACTGCAGGGTCCCACTGTACACGTTTCAAATTATTAACCTGGGTTCTGGTGTGCAGAAAGCTCCCTCAGAGAGTGGAAACCTTTTGGTTTTGCACTGTGCAAGTACTTAGGGCTGAGATCAGCCTTTGTTGCAGTTCACTGTATGCATTAACTGCAATAAAGGTACAGCTGCTGAGGATAGGCCAGGATTCAAGCAGCACATGAATTTCCAACAGCCAAGATGCCCCCCTCAGCTGCAGAGCAGGACACAGGCAGTGGGTCATGCTGTTCCTTGCCTCCTCCCCAGAATAGGGAGCTGGATATCATGATAGCAAACCTTTCACCACATTGTGTTCTGGCCTATACCTGTGACTCCAATTATTTAAAAAAACCCACACAAAGCCCTCCCCACCTCTAAATGACCACCACCAAACAAAAAACAAAGCCCACAACCCCACAAAAAACCCAAATCAAACTCCAGCCTCCCCCAACCTATTAGACAAACAGCATTTGTTGCCTCTGAAGGGCATGTGACATTATGTATCACTCACAATTTAGAACAGGTCAGACACTGGCTCCTACCCCCTACATCAAAAGCAACAGTTGTGTCAGAATGTGAACATAAACCACACACAGAATGTGAACATAAAACTACCAGAGTCAAACACACCAGAGGCACTTATACTTACTGGTTCTTGAGCAGTTCAAACTTTTTAAATCATAGAAATGTGTAAACACACAAAGCCTGAAAACAAACTGAACAGTGTACTGCAGGCTACAAGAGATGCAGGGGGAACCTGTCCATGACTGAAGAGCACCACGAGAACAAGAACTCTGGTAACACAGCATTTCTTTACAGGCAGCTGTCAGCCTAACATAGCTTTAGGTCCTATGAACAAACCCAGTGCCCATTTCTTCTCCCCTTATTCAGTCATAGACTCTTTCCAACCCTATTTAATGCCCAGTCCTCCCTCCATCTGTTCCATCCATGCTCCCTTCCCCCAGGCATAGGCCCCTGGGGAACAGAAGGAGTCTCCTCAATTGTCAAAAGCGACAACACAAATTACAAGGCAATGTTCACTCTGCCTGTGGGCACTAAAGGGTAATTTGAGAAATTAAAAGAGTGAGGTTGTGTGGGTGGGACCCTTGGCTACTTTTAGAAAGTTGAGCCGGGTCAGCTCTAACTAGCGGGTGAAGGAGCCTGATTGCAGCTTTGCTGGGGCTCAGGGGGAGGAATGCCCAACACTGTAGGAGAGATCCCAAGTGTCCAGTCACCCTCTTGCAAAAGGCTAGTTGTACAATGGTCTGAACTGCTGCCTGCAGCTGGTTTGATAAGGTCAAATCAATGTCAGAGGCCCAAGGAGAATTAATCAGGCCTCCACAGTAATCAGGTATACTTCAATCTCCTCAAACAGGCTTAAGCTTCATTTCATTCTGAACACACACATACTGAAAACAGACCTTCCAAAAAACAAAGGAATATCGTATGGCAAGCTGTGAAGGGCACTGGGCTACAACAGGGAGAATTTCAATGTCTGCACTAGCAAATCCTAAACGTACAGTTTAGTATTGGGTATAGCAAGCAGTGTAGCTAATCCTAAGACAGCACGATTCCACAGGGAAAAAGCGTCAGACACTGTCAAAACCATGGCAGTAGCTACAGACCTCAGCCAAGAGATCAGGAACCACCAGAGCAGAAGGCTGACATATACCTCAGTCCTAACCCACCCTCTTCCTTGCTGCATGTTCACCGCTCCAGAACACTCTCTGTTAAACTGTCATCCAAGTGTTGCTTTCCAGGCATCTTCGTTCAAACAGACACATCTCCTAGAGCCATTCCCCAGCTACAAGAACTACCTACATGCTGCAATACAAAATCCACTACTTCCCAGCTATAATGCCCTCCTCTTGTGTGATTCCTTGCAGGATACCTGCACTGCCTGCACAGAGAAAGCACAGGCAGAATTCAGACACTTCCTTCCCATAGTGACTTACAGAAAGAAAATGGCCAGGTACACCAACTCACTTCTCAGTCTACTACACATTCAGACTCTTCTGCAACCATGACAAAAGGGAACCATCTCCTGCAGTAACAAATGGTCACCACGTGGCAGTTTCTACTCTCCATTAGGTAACTCCAGAAAAAAGGAACATGAGCATTTTGCTGTCAGATTTGCACCAGAAATACCCTTCAGGAGCCAAAGATGCTGCACTATGGTTCATTCTTTGAAGTCTCAACCTCCACTACCAAAGCTGAGACACCAGGCACTTCTCACCAGTAGGCTGAAGCCATCTATTCACAGCAGTGCCTACCAGGGCAGTCTACATGGTACAACCAAGTGTCAGGGAGAAAGCAGTTCACTCTGTGGTCGCCACCCCACCCCAAGTAAGTAGGTAAGCTGAAGAAAACTTCTATTTCATTTTAGGTTAAGTAGTGGCTATTGTGATTGCTGCAGCAGCAAGCTCTCCCTGGAGAGCCAACTCCTCCCCACCACCTCAGGGAGCTCTAATCTCATGGGGAATCTGGTGTAAAGTTACCTTCTAATAATTAATGTTCTGACATCAAAGCCAGCATGCAGCTGTCTGTAAACCATCTTTAGCCCACAAAACGAAGGGACGCCGGCACAGATTTTATCCAGCCTCTCTCTTCAGCTTCAAAAACCACACACAGGCAAAGCATTAATGGGAAGATTCTTTTACAAAAATGGACCTTTGATGTTTAAAAATAATTTGTTTTGTTTTGGGTTTTTTCCTCAGGACTGAAAAGGGACAAAAAGCAGATGCCATGTGGCTATCCCTGCTCTGCTCTTGCTGCTGAAAGCAAGGAGAGCGGAGGATGGCAGGAATGGAGGAGGGAACAAAATGTAATCAATCAGCAGCAAAAGCACCAGAGATCAAAGGGCTTGAAAGCAGCAGTCAAAATCACATGCTGTTTAACACGAGGGGAGAACCCCCCCAACAGAATCTGCAGCTGCTTCCAAAGCTGCTCTCAAGCTGGAAGGGAGACTGGCTCCAGAAGTGCCTGTGAGTAGTATGAACTGGACTGCAATTCTGAGGAAGATGCCGGATCATGGGAGTCCTTAGGCTGCTGCTGCTCAGCTCTGTGCCCAACAGCACAACTTCCCATTAAGCTGTGGCTAGTAGAATGGTAACATGGGTTCCATTTCCCCCATCAGCACATGGAGATGTAACTGTAGCTGTAGATCTATACTCCTGACAATCTACCACATGTCACCAAAAGAGTTAAACTGCAAGTCAGAGTGACTACAGGCAGAAGGAACTCTTGAGAAAGCAGATGTTAACAACTACCAGCATGAGATACTGCTTTTACAATAGCTTTACTATGGAGGTCCACATTCCACAGAGAGGCTCTGAGAAGAAATCTGAGCACACCTTGCAACCTAAGAGTTAGAAACTCTGCCAGTCTTCTCAGATCTTTGAAGTCATGGGATCAAGTTACAACAAATATTCAGACCACTTCTGCTTCTACAACAAATTAGAAAAGTTCTCCCTTTCCGTATGTAAAACTGTACCAAGCTTATACCTTTTGTGTGCCCTGGGAGGTAAGTCAATTACAACAAGCACTGAGCACCTTCAGGGTGTTGCACAACCCAAGTCTGACTAAACTCTGCTCATCTTTAGCAAAACTACACAGCAAATAGTGATTTTTAAAATACAGACTAGTACCCAGGGCTCAGGTGACAAAGTGAGCATTTGTTAATGAAATCTGCATGGAATCTGAAGCACAGAGATTGAGGCTCTTCTGGACTGTGCTTTTACTGTAGTTGTGTTGCCTCCACTATAATTATTTGTTAAGGATACCTCAAGGTTCAAAGCTTTGCTTGCCTCTGGACAGTAAATACTTGAATTCCCATCCTTTATATTTCCTGTATTAAATTGTCCAAAATTCAACACTTCCTTACTGAACTCTTGGCAGAAGTGTATTACACCAAGGCACCTAACCCTGTATTATGGGGAACAATTCTTGAAAACAGAAAGATCTTTCTACTAATAGGAGCTCAATCTCAGGCAATGGAGGATAAAAAAAAGCCCTAATTGCAAACAATTTTTTTCTTACCTGATCTTGCTCCTTTTGCAGTTCTTGGCTGTTCTTAGACTTCTTTGGCTTAGAAGGGCCTCCAGGGCTGGAAAAAGTTGTTGGCAGCTTTGAAGATGGCAAACCTGACCCAAGAGACGGTGCAGCTATGGAGGAGTCCACCAGACACCGTCCATCTCCAGAAAAAGGGACAAATGGGGTAGACTCAGGCTGTGGGGAAGGCCACTGCTCCTCTGAGCTGGCATCAGATTCTCTAATCAAGTCTTGCTTGTCTGCGCAGCTGTTTAAAGGCATGGCCACATCCCTGTGGTCCAAGTCCTTTGGGAATGTGTTTGCTTGAGGTAGGGGCACATCCACTGCTCCTCCAGTAGAGCCTGGCCTCACTGTCAGCTCATTAGACTGTACCGTGGCACCCACAGCTTCTTCCTGACCAGATGAACTGCATTTCCTCATGACAACTCTTAAAGACGACACCAAAAGGAATAAAAACAAAATAATTTATCCTAACAGTACTGCCCTCCCCATTCTCAACATGAACATGACACAAAAAGGACAGCTAGATTCAAATATACCCCTAATTTAATTATCTGCTTCTTCTAGGCACTCAAAAAGAACAAGCTCAAATTACTCTGAAGTTAGGGGTGGGGGGTTGTGCAAAAAAAAAAAAACAGAACAGGAACTACCCACTCCACAGGAAGAAAACTGCCTTCCAGGGAAGAAACAGCAGTGGGTTGTAAAGCACAGCTTCTAGTAACTCTGGCCTTCTGCATGTACTGCAAAGAACTGGCTTGAACATCATGGAAAGATTGTCATTGTCCCCCACCTCACCCTCCCAAACTGTCTGCAGGAGGCACTGCGGGCACTGGGAGTTTAAAGAGGCAGAGGATCGTTCCCTCAGAGCGACTTTTGACTTTGAACTGCTTCGCTCATGAAAACAAAGAGAAAAAAAAAAAAAAAAAGCGGCAAAGAAGCCCCTTTAATCTGCAATGCCAACATCTGCAGCTGTGGGAAGCACATCTGGGCAGCAGTTTCAGATGAACAGGCAAGTGCAATAACTACCAAGTGCTGTGACATTTGTCTTTTTGAACTTTTTCTGGGCTTTTTAAATTTTATTTTCGGTATTTGAAATAAAAAATTCATCACCAGAGTGGAAAAATAAAGAATCCAGACTTTGCTTCTCCCAACCTGATGATGGCACTGCCCCCTGTTAAGCCAAGAGACTTCAGTGTGGTCTTCTCTAGGGCATCTCTTCCTGATACCTGCAATGGAGGAAAGTAATGATGGCAACTGCCTACCTGGGAGAGCATCTTTTTTGAAAGAAGCCTCTATCAAAACAAACACTACACAGCACCAAAGCCAGCTTCTTTCTGCAGATGTAAATGAGACCTGTTTTCACCCGTACTGCTTCACCAAATTCACTGCCTACTAAAGGACCTCAAGGGAAGATGACCTACATATATTCCCATCCCATACACACAAACAGATCAGATCTGACCTTGGCAGAGCATTATTTTTATCACAGAAGTTAAATCACAGGCACCACCTCAGAACTGACAGACAGCAGATTTAATTACATCCCCCTCCCTTCTGCATGTAATGACCTGTTCCAGAATAAAGATGATCTGTCCACAGAGGTCAGTGGGAAGTGAAGGGGACAGCCAGGGAGAACAAATTCCATAATACACACATACAAAATATTAAACAAAACATTAATAGCAAAAGATCAAAACACAGAGAAAAGCAAATATTTATTAAAATGAAACCACTGTTTTGACTCAAGCTTTAAAAGAAGTTGGAAAGAAAAACACAAACAGGTCATTGAGCTCATTTTATGGGCTCAGAGGTCTAAACGGCCCAGGGTTATATTCCAAGAGAGCTTTTTTCCATACAGACACATCATGCTTTGAAAAGACCAACATTTTTCTACTTCCCCTCTCAAGAAAGTTCAAAAGAAACACTTTACAGGTTGGAAAGCAGAGCTGAGTTTTTCTTATTTTTTAGGGACAGAACAGAGTTAAGAAGACACTGCTGACTTACCTCATCTCGCATGTAAACACAGACTGGAGAGAATTCACCATGCTGTTCCATAAACTCCCTGCAATGAAGAGAAAAATAGTGCAGCATCTGTAGAATTATCTATCCCTTCCAAAACCAATGTACAGCAATAGCAAGAAGTGAAATGAGCTAGCAACTCTCGCTTCCATGTTCTTCCAGCAACAACTATTACACAGTTCACTGAGTCAGTACTAGAGAAGAGGTTAAGAATTTGCTCCAAAGAATCCACTGTTCCTTTAAAACAGCTTTGAGGGTTTAAAATCAAAGGAGAAATAATTAAAGTTAATTCTGAAAATAGTTGATCTTACTAAAAAATTTGAGCACATCATTATTCATGTGCTTCAGTACCTGATCTGGAATGTGACTTCATAATACTTCTTTTTAATCTCTTATCTCAGTTCAATTGTTTATTACAGTTTAGACTGTCCTTTATTTGGGGACAGGTCAGCTTCTTTCCATGCATGCATAGCAACAAACACAGTGAAATATGGCTCTAAAGCAAATAATCTGAGGAGAAAAAAACTGCCTGTCTTAGTATGAGACAGATTAAGAAGAAAAAAAAAAATATGAAAAAAAGAAACACCAGAAGCTTGGAGATTCTGGAGCTCAAGGACAAAACAAAGCCAAGGAAAAGGCTGCTGCAGTAGACAAAGTGAAGATTAATCCACACTTAAGCATACCAGTGAGGCAGGACACATCAGAAATTATGCAAATCACTGGCAGGCCATCTGCAGAGGAAGCCCTAAGTGAAGGACTATTAGCATAGAGAAAGGGAAAAAACCAGCCAGATGTTCCCATTTCCCTCTAGATAGGCAATATCTGAGGCATTCAGTAGAAAAGAAGCTTTATTCAGTTGATCAAACACAGAAGATGGATGGAGAAAAGGCAATCACTGCCTGTCAGAGCAAGTCTCAGTTCTCATCCATCCAAGACCATGCAACTTGAAAAGAAAGGACACATGGAAAAGCTTATAACAGGGTGTTCTTAATGGGGAAAAAAGAAAGAAAAGGTGGATGATCACCATTCGGGAGGGGAAAAGCCAAGGCCCAATGGAACACATCCTCACCATATAGACTCATAAAGGAGCAAACTGATTTGCTTTCATAACAGTTTTGTTCACCTTTCCAAAACTGCTTTCCACTTCAATCCAAGCAACTTTTAGGACTGAAGAGCCTTCTAAAAATGTATGGAAAACATCTGAACTTCACGACCAACACCGCAAATGCAGAGAAGAGTCACAGTCATCATTAAAACTGCCTTCAACTGTCCAAGCTGCAATTGCTTCTATCTAAAACAGTCTACAAAGCTGCCGAAGCTGCCAGACAGGCAAGACTGGGAGACAGAAAAGGTACCATTCTCCCAATGCTGACACTAAAAGAGTGCCCTCAGCCAGTCTCTGCAGAACAGCCTCCATGGAAAGATGCCCCGAGACTTGTTTTTGTGAAACTCTTGGAAGCCAGCAGGCTCCTCCTCCAGCTGCTGCTAATCCATGACATGTATTCACTGAGGCAAGCACACACATCAAACACATTGTCATTTCTTTGATGTGCTGCTCTTCAGAAGGGGAAGGCAAGCAGATTAGATTCCTTCATGTAGTGATCTGACAGGGCCTGTAAACATCTTGTGCAAGGGCTGCCGCGCGCTGAGAGGAGGAGCAGCCTTACAATAGCTTCCAGACCTTCTCCAGACCCAATTAGCCAAGATGGACACTGGAAACCCGAGGGAAATTCCAGTGGATTTAGAATACTTCCCCTCACGCACTTAGAACAGCTGAGCATTCCAGGAAAAGGTTTCCAGTTGGAAAGTCAAAGGAAGGATTCAGCAAGTCAGCAACTAGCTAACTAGTTAGTCAACTGAGTCAGTGGATACTGAAAAGCAACACAGCCCATGAAATCTATACAGATGGCTGGACGTCCAGCCTGTTTCGTGATTAAGTCACACACAACATCATTGCTGCTTGTTGAACTTAACCAAAAGTTTGCGAAGTCCACCCAAACATCTGAGCTCAGCTTCCGGAGAGCACGAAAGTAGAGTTGTGTCTTATGAACTGAAGTTAATAATGCTTAGCACAGTGTAGCAGTTAAAATCTGAAATGTATGTTAACTATTAGTACTACAATAACCTGTAACAAAAGAAACCACTCCAAAGGAGCAAAATTATATAAAAAGCTCAAAATTTAAACCAGAGAAATAACCAAACAATGTACAAGAAAGCCACACAAAAGCTGTTTGTCACCATCCATAATTATCACCCCCACCAGTCCCCCAGTTCCTAAACTACAACAGCCACTCTTCTCCTCCAAGAGGGCAAAATGTAAATAAGGTAGAGGGGCCTTAAAACACCCAGTAAAATCATATCTGGATTTCCTTGTCTCTCCCCTTCATCAAAAGAAAAACAATTCTTTTCCCTCCAGCATATATATGAAGACTGTCCCTTTTGACTCAAGAGTAAAAGCGACAGTGTAGACCTGTTCCCCCCTAGCCATTAAAGATTAAAAGAGAATGACAAGCAAGACTCATTTGTATCACTTTAGAGTCACTAGACTACCTCAAGCACTTCCTCAAACTATGGTTTAATGATACAAACATTGAGTACAAACTTGACAAATGTCACTTCTACCCATCTGCTGCTTCCGCTTGTGGATCCTTGTTTCTAGACATGCTGTATTACCTGTCATACAAACCCTTAACTGGGTTAGGAAACTCACCTACCTGGAAGATAATGTAGGGTTTTTTTGGAAAATACTGTTTTTCAGCTCAACCAGTTAATTAAGCCAATTCCCCATAAAGCTGCACACAGACTAGGAGGGGAGGTACAGAGGGCAGGAAGTGAGCACCTGCTGTTCAGTCCCAGGCTGCTACACAGGAGATGCCCCAATCTGAACTCCCTGCTTTGGGCCAGCACCAGTCACTCCTCTGATATTGTCCTGGGCCTGTCAGGTAGCTGAACCAGCAGAAAACTATCAGCACATCAGTGGGAGGCTGGAAGAACTAGCTCCTTTCCCCCAGAAAGGGCTCTGGAGCAGGTCCAGTCACCCAGTTCAGCTGTACAGCCCCAACTCCATGAGGTACCATCAGCCAGCCCAGCCCTGGGCCCACATGGCTCAGGCCACTTCCACTGCAGAGTGGAACAAGCAACTTCCAACTTCAGTTGAAGTAATTTACACTAGTCCATGTTAGTCTAGTACTAACACATACCCATAACCAGCCATTTACTATGGCTCAGCTAACAGGGGACAACCCATCATTTTGCATCCTATCACTGTATTCTAACCACCCTCACTAATGACAACTAGCTCTACAGCCTCACAGATTTCAAAAGTCTTGACACAGAAAGCTACTGTCTCTTTAGGCGAGTACTTAATTGGCTTGAGAAATTAACAGAGCTGTAATTTGCACAGTACCATCTATACAGATGAACAAGAGATTCAATTGCAGCAAGGCAACAAACAGAAGGAGAGGAATATAAGAGAAAGAACAAGCTAGAAATACAGGATCTGAAAAAAACAAAACAAAAAAATTATCAAGAGAAAGGTAAAGACAACTACAGTAGAAAAAAAACCAACAACTGGAAATTCTGTTCAGAAGAGAACAGCTGAGACAGCTTACAGGCTTTAGCTTCCAAGCCATGACAAAAATAAAGGAACTGTCTTTGGAAAACAGTTTATTAGCTTGACATTTCAAAGCAGTACAGTATTTTTAAGTCAAAAGTTTAGATGAAAGCACTTAACGTAGACTAAAGAACCCATATCTATATTCAATAAATATAGGACCAGCAGTCCTTTCATGTAAATAGTATCTAATCAGTCTTCTGAAGATTCCACATTAGCCTGCTGAGAGCTCCAGATCTGCTTAAAGAATCTGCACAACTGCAAGCCTCAAAAGCAAGAGCAACTTGCTTAAAAACCCCCTCCACCAGGTGGAACCAGCACAGAAGCACTGGTGATCAAGATAATCTAGGCTGCCATCTCAACTGTGGCAGTGACTTGACTTGAAACACCTTTGTGTAGAAGCCAGGTGCGGCAATATAACCAAGCAGTGTTTCTTCCTAGTCTGAGCAGGTTGTTGCCAGTTTATGCCCTGAACCAGAGGCATAAGAGTCCTTCTCCAGGAGTAAAAAATAATAATGAAACTATGGAGCATCAAATGTGAAAGAGGAATAGAAGTGTCTGTATTGTAAAGGAATACAAAACAGTCAAATAAATGCAAGTCCTAAAAATTTGCAGGATTTAGCTGGATCACTTTAACTACAGCTTCTACTGTCATGCAGAGATCCATCCAAACAAGTGTCCTCTCACTGCACTGCTCACCTGATCTTTGCAAAATGGTTGAGAAGTTCCCACAAGGTCTGCTGGCAGAGAAAGGTGTCTTGCAAACGGGAGCCATCATCTAACTGCAGCGCGATCCGAACCTAAAGGAAAAATACACCAAATTCACCTGATACCTGAATGAGAACTGTCTTTCCTGGGTTGCCCATCCCCGCTTTCGCTCTCTGTATGCTTCCATTTTGTGTCTGAGTTTGGCCAGGAGCTCCTTGTTCATCCATGCAGACACCGTGGCATTTCTACCTGGCAAACACTCCTGATTTGTGGGAAGGGACAGCTCTGTAGTGTGGAGGAGTCGATCCTTGAACATTAACCAGCTTCTTGGGCCTCTCTTCCCTGCCATATCCTGATTCGAAACATATAGAGGTGAAGTCCTAAATACTGTGTCATCATGAGCAACTCAGATGTTTTTGTGTTTCACGCTAGCCAAAACTTTACAGCAAGGGTCCTTACAGCTATACAAAATGGTTTCCAGTAGCCCAGGCAGGACTGATTAGTTGCACACGCTGAAACCCCACCCAGAGCTCTGGCTCCTCCAGCATCAATCTCCAGAACAAACCATATCTCTGCACATCCACAGAGGAGCAATGAGAACAGCCCAAATCTATCCTTGAGCCACTGAAGACCTAACCAACTATTATCAGCACAAAAAGACTACATGTGTGATTTGCAACTCACACGCAACCACAACATTTTGACATACAATTTTAGAGTGAATTAATTAAAAAAAAAATAATTCTCAAACCTAATTCTGGACATTCAGCTATCCAGTTCTCAAACACGTGCAGAAAAAGGGAAAGGACAGATAACTGCCGTTCTAACAGGTCATTTCCAGCCTGGAATATGAACATCCACATTCATTAGCAAGTGCTCACGCAGAACTTACATATTCTTCAGAGAATGCTACGAAAAAAAAAAATAAAATCCCACACTCTAAGGACAGTCCTGAAGAACTTAAAACTCCTGAGGTCCCAACGGAAAAATCTAGCAGCTGACCAAGAGATGGAGAAGTGCAGAGCACTGCAGGTGTTATCTTTACCTTTCACACAATATTCAGCCTTCTTTTTCAAAATGTCCAACTCCTAAGTTTTCCCAATTATTACACTTGTCTAAGAAGACAAGAAAAAAAAAAAAAGTCCTATTAGATAGCTCCTGGTATCTCTAGTGATCTACAAGTTTCCTGAAGGCCACAGAAACTGGCATTACTCAGAAGTCCAAGAAGGACATAAACCTGGGACACGGACAGAGGTTTTCTTTAATTCTGTGTTTTGATGTGTCCTACCAACCATCTCAGTGATCCTCTCTGTGTGTGATATGTGTGAGAGCACAAGGGGGAAGGGAGAGAAATAGGAAAAAACATACACCACACACTCTAGCAATCAGCTGTGATTTCCCTGAAGAAATGTGTTTGTCATCTGCCTTGGCTCCTACCAGTCCTTTCAGGACTGCAAGTTGTGATCTGCTGGAGACAGGAATTTTTCTACACAAAGGAAACAGTGGCATCATCAACAACTAGCCAACAGAACTAAGTCGTTTCATCCGACCACTAACACAGCCTCCTGGTTTCTCCTGTGCTGGAAACAAGCCTTAGATTATTCTCAGCTACAGCAGAGTGATGACAGCTGACATCACCATTCTATAAGAATCCAGCCCAGAAACTCAGACTACCAGTTGCATCAGTTTTTGGGCAATGGTTCAAAGCTAAGCATGTCACGAAACTCCTGTTCAGTCAATTAGAAAAATATTTTTTTAAATCCCAGGCTCTCTATAAAATATCAGCAAGACCAGTGACAACTATCTTCTGAGTTTACAAACATATGAACAAAAGACTAACAACTTCAGTTGTACTGGTGGTAACCCTAGATCACCTGCCATCACAAGGGGCATTTGTTCAACTCTTCACTGAAAAACTGTCTTGCAAGAATCAATAGTTTTCACATGTGAAGGCAAATTCAAAAGCATTCTATTTTTTTAAATATCAGATTTGCTGATCAAACTCATGATTTATCAAAACCTGTGTTCTGTGGCTACAGGTAACTGCTACCAATGCACCCCAGGAAAGAGCACCCACTTCCATGCATATTCTCTCAATGAAAGAGAAATAACAAAAGGCACAGAACCAAATTCAGCCCAACATTACAGCAGCCAGCCTGCGTGACTGAGCCCACATCTCAGCTCCCCTATATTTGGGCATAATGCTTGTGTCAGTTCTAGTCACAACTATCCAGCTGTTTTAAACTTCCTGCAGTATTTGACACCAGTTCCCCATGGCAGGGAATTCTTTTGGTAAATTGCTCTGCACGAAGTATTGTTTTTATACTGTCTGTATAATCCTTCAAAGTGAAATCTCTGCTCTTAGTTTATGAGACAGCAACTCTGTCTAGGCTGCCCCCTTCACAAGCCAATCTGCTCTGTTGTCTCAACTCCACAAAACAGCTATGAGCACTCCAAGGGAAGCCCCACTTCTGTAGACTCTCCTGTCAAATACAACAGTTACAACTTCAACATTTGCTAGCTCTTCTCTTCTGTGATCTAAAGTAATGGTTCCCTGTTAAACTCCTCTCCTCCAGTACACAGTCCTTCTCACCCTTTATGATAGGCTCCATGTATCTTCTTGGAAAAGGCAAAACAAAGTAACTGTTTTCCTCCAGTACAATACCTCCTAAACTGGATGCAAACATCACATAAAGTCACCACTGCACCATTTTAACACCACTCTCCTCTGGAACTACATGTCATCCTGAGTTTTTTAAACCGATAGTTGTAAGTAGATGCTAGTAGATGCTTAGCTTGTGGGTTGTTGTAGTTTTGTTGGTTTTTTTAACTAAATACATCACTTGGGGCACAAACTTCTTTCTACCAAAGTCAGAAAGAAAATATCAGTGTCAAAACAAAGCACATGGAGATTTTAGAGAAAAACATGGACCTCAGGGACCCCCAAAGCTACGCTGCACACCCACAGTGAACTAGAGCAGATTCCAAATTCACCCCCACTACAAAGTTCACTTTTCAATGTAGGTATTAGTTTATCTTTGTGACAAAAAATACCTCTAACACAAATGGGCAGACAGACATTAAGAGCTTAGCACTAATAAAATTAAAGCTTTCACAAAAATTGAGAATATCTATATGAGGAAGTCAGTAAGGAGAGATGACTGCTAGTGATAGGGCAGTTTTAATTCCCAGGCTAATGAAGTAAGATGATACACTAGTTTTACCACATTTACACTCATTAACACCTATGCATTGTTTTAAAAAGTCTATCTCCAGTTGTTATCATGATATACACAAAAGATGTTTATAAATCTCCTAAAGGTGACAATTCCTACAATACAGGGCATCAATAAGCTCTTTGCAAATTACACTGAATAGGGACATTTGGCAACTGCTGAACACAGCACACACAACAAAACATTCCAAAGCTGTGTGACCACACAGTGAAAAGGAATGCTGGGAAAAAAGCAAAAGAGAATCCTGTAATAATTCAGTATTTTAGTCAAAAATTTAGAGGTGGGCAACAGCATCTGAAATTGGGGAAGACAACTAAGTAGCTCAACTGCTGAGCAAAGTCACCAGTGATGTTTAACTTCCTAAACATTCATGACTACCAGTTTTTCAGGTCCCCAAAAGATCTTCCTGTTTCCAGCACAGCTGGAACTACACCATCACACTGGCTGCAAGCAAAGATCTCCAGCTGCTAAATTACCATTTTCCAGCACACCTCAACCAGCTTTAGACTGGTCTTCCACTCCAGCAATGGCCAAGCCTAACTATCCTCTTGCTAATCAGATTTAACAGATGAACTCCAGCACAACTGGTAACTGAACGCACTGGGTCACGCCATGCAATGAACGTACCGTGTTTCCAGCTCCCGCTTTACTAGAGACTGGGACCATCTCCAGCTTGGCATTGTTGGGCAGTCTGGCAAATCTCCACTGTAATGAGAGATCCAACACACTCCTCTGAAACCTAAAGAAGAACACAGCTCATGAAGTCACCAGGAACCATCCCATACCACCTTCAGATTGCTTCAGGGACTGGCAACAATACGAAGTCCAAGTATTGAGCAAGAGAATTCCTGGCAGGCTGACTAGAGGCCATAGAACACAAAATGCACATACAGTAATTTAAAAAATAGCAACTAAAATTATTCTGCATGCTAAAAAAGCAGCAACATGTAAAGCTCACAAACAATATATTCAAATACGTTTCTCCTCAGGCTTTAAAAGATAAATAGCAACTACATATATATTCAAGCCTGGTGTTCACTGTTAAATAAATGGTACTTTTTTTACTGACACTTAAGATGAATTACCTCTTCTACTCTGCAAAAGTACCGAGGGAAAGTACCAGGCAAGAGAAGGAGTCTGTCCTGCCAGCCTGCGAGCTGGCAGAGGCATGTGTGGGGAGGGTCATCTTCATCAAAGTGACACAGTAACGGCACCGATCCCAAAAGTGAAGGGAACTTGGCAGAGGGAAATCGGGAGAAATTAATTTGAACAAAATAACTTTGCTGGAGAAGAATCTAAACCATAGCTCGTGGATCCCTCTCCACAGGGATGACTGTGGCTAAGTTCCTCATGCATTACCTGACAGGAACCAGAAATAGGGACTGGTTTGAAAGGTCTTCACAGGATATGAAAATGTTAGAAGACATTTTTACCACAGCGTTTTTATATCTGAAAGCAGAACTGCTGTTTCAGAGATATGCTGAATTGTAAAAGATAATGAAATGCCTGTGTGTTCTGCCAACGCCCTTAGTGTATGAAGATTGTCTCATGAATCACTGTGCTTTTCTTTAGGGTATGCTTTTGATTTCAGGGGGTTACCAAGGCTTATTTCCCTATTTTTTCCTGAAAGCTCACTTGTTTCTTGTTGAAAACACAGAACTATGAATCTTTTTATATTATATCTAAAATTTAAAAAAGCCCAAAGCTTCATGTTGTTGTACCTGTTCTTCTGGGTGCAGAGTCTTTTTCCAAGTCATACCCTGCATACTATATTCACACTTAAGTCACTCTGAAATTAGGCTGAAATGAAGTTATTCATGCCTAACATGATTGGCTTGTGAAATTAAGGTTGACTGCAAGACTATTTGATCTGTAACTGTGTCAGATATGGCTTAGACTATCTCAAATATGCCTTCCCCATAGGTAGGAGACCTGTAGTGGAGCAGGGTAATTGAATCACTGAAAAGCTGGCAGCTTGTCGTGCTCTCCCTTGGGTTTCCAGCGTTGGGATCAACCACCAGGTCTCTGAGGAAACAAGGCGTTCGTTGTGCTCGGGCCCTGCCCGGGAGGGCCCGCAGAGACCCGAGCGCACAGCGCAGCCGGCCCGGGCGCTCGGTGCCGAACTTGGGGCAAGAAACCGCTGCGGGGGTTGAGCTCCTGCCTCTTCCCCAGGCAGGGGCGGCGGTGACTGGAGACCCCGAAAATAGCTCGGTGTACAGGACAGGAACTCGGCAAAACATCAAAGCTATTGCAACAATCACTTCCAGAGAGAAGAGGGGAGCAACTTACTGTGCTCCCATTGTCAGATGGGCGTCTATGGAGTGTCACGAGCAGGACACCGGTGCTAAGACAAATTAGAGCATCTCCTGCCTCCAAAAGCCATTTCTTCTGGGGAAAAAAAAAAAAAAAAAAAAGGTTGATTTGGCATCTCATGATTAGTCTTGCAGACTCAGCCATTCAGATGTGATGCCTGCAGCTAGGGAACCAAGATGATCTTACATTTTAGGGCACAACATTTTCTGGATACTTTATTTCATGTAGGAGCTTCCCCTTCACTCCCAGCACCACCTTTTCTGCATCAAATGTGTTCTCAGAGATTGAACTACAGCCTGTTTTGTTTGCTATCATAAAAAAACCTTTTTGTTTGGGTAACCACTGGAATTTATTTAGCCTAAGTTGTTACCACATGCCAAATATTTTCTCTACTTCTATATTTATCATATATGTTAAGTCTAAGTCCCCACTGCCACCCCCAGTGCCCACAAAAATGTCTGCTTTGCTTGGCTTATAAGGGGAAAAAATCCTTTTAAGGAAAGACACTTTTGTAAAAGATAACACTTAATTGTCTTTACCATATCAGCTGTGTGAGAGAAGGAAGAAAAAGAAGGCAGCTCCAGGGAGAGGTTGGAGCTGCCCTCCTGTACTCGAAGGGGCTCCAGGAAAGCTGGGGAGGGACTTTGACAAGGGCAGGGAGTGATGGGATGAGGGCTAACAGCTTATATGAGATATGAAGAAGCTCCTTCTTTTGAGGGTGGTCAGGCATCAGCCCAGGTTGTCCAGAGAATCTGTGGGTGTCCCATCCTTGGGAGTGTACAAGGGAGGCTGGTGCAATCTTGAAGGTGTCCCTGCCCGTGACAAGGGGGCTGGGACCAGATGATCTTTAAGGTCCCTTCCAACCCAAACCATTCTCTGATTGCATGAAAAAGAGAGGATGGGAATTTCAATGATGGAGAGAGATTATGTATGTGGATTCTGGGGTCCACCCAACACCGTAAGTGCTCAATAAGGCACAGTAATAAAGGATGCTCTAGTATATAATGCATAATTTAAAAATAACACGAATGTCTTTATGTTTGTCCTTTCCATTCCATTGGAAAGTATCATTGTCATACCACGTGTACAGGCACAGTGTTCAGGATACTGGCATCTCAGCCCACATCTGTAATTCCTAAACACATTCAGATGGTTTAAGTCAATTTATTTTACTTTCAGAGTGGGGATGGACAAGGTGTATACATACAGCCAGTTACCTCAGAACAGCTGATTAGTAACTTGTCAGTTCACATCAGCTCAGTGACTTTCAATCATATGTCAACATCCTGTAAGTTGTCTGTGGACACTTATTTTTTTTCTTTCACTATTTTAGCAAAGCAGCTGTGGAACTTACTGAATATAATCATGTTACCTATATCACGATTATCAAGGCATCCTGTCCTACTAAGCAATACCTTGACAGAAGGTATGAAGAAGAAGAGACTATTAAAATTGTTATGTTAACACCAATGATTATTCAGCTGCTGAGGTAGAGCAACAATTCAATTTTAAAAGCTATGCTTTGGGTTTCATTGAGCC